AAAAAAAAAAAATAAAGTTCAATGGACTCAGCAAAATGGGACCAAGGTTCTTACTAAATTAAGAACCCCAGGGAGCAGAAATGTACTTGGAATTGGATGTGGTTAATAATTTCATCCAAACAAGTTGTAAATTATATCAACTGAATGAGAAATCATAGTCGTCAAAATTCATTTTTTTCATAATTAAGAGTAACTGAACTACAAAATTTCCGTGACAAAGCTGATGGTAGATACAAAAAAGTACTTGAGCATGGCAGGAACTTTTTCCCTGTGCCCCTCACCAACTGCGCTTTGGAAGTGTGAACCTTCGCATAACGTTATGTGTCCCAGTGGCATTGAACAAGTCCCCGGAACCGGTGCATTTTATCCAAACACAATTTAAAACTTTTAATCAGGGGCGCCTGGGTGGCTCAGTCGTTCGGCGTCTGCCTTCGGCTCAGGTCATAATCCCAGGGTCCTGGAATCGAGCCCCACATCGGGCTCCCTGCTCAGCCAGGAGCCTGCTTCTCCCTCTCCCACTCCCCCTGCTTATGTTCCCTCTCTCGCTGTGTCTTTCTCTGTCAAAGTCAAATAAATAAAATCTTTAAAAAAAATAAAAATAAAAAAACTTTTAATCAAAGTATTCAGTAACGGAAGCACCAAAAAAAAAACAAAAGCCTTTGCGCTTTTTAGCAAATTACGATTGCACAGTTGCAAACACGACGATGAAACTCGGAAGACCTTGAAAAATAGAACGTTCAAAGCATGATTTTTTAAATTCTGCTAATCGCACTTAGAAATACCTTTGCAATACCTCCACGTATAAGAAACACCACCGGGCTTAACTGAGTAAATTTACATCTTGAATCCAAATGTACAGAAAATTGAGAAGGGCCACTACTCTGCAGCACCTAAATCTGGTGAATCGTTCAGAATGAGAAATCCCCTCCCATCCCCGGGGTCTGCAAGGAGTCAAACGTGAGTCCATGCCGGGAACAACGCTGTCTCTAGGCCTCAGGTTCACCGCGTGGGGAGTACCTTCCGCTTCCGACCGCGTGGACGCTGCACAGCCTCGCTCCCGGCATCCCCCGGGGAAGCCGCGGCGTGAGAGAGAAAACACCGCCTCCAGCCAGCGCGCGTGCGCACACGCCAGCAGCGCCAAGCCCCCGACGCGCCGCACGCCCGCGCACCCCCCGCGCACGCCCGCGCGTTCACGCACTCGCGCACGCGTCCCTCGGCCGGCCGGGCCTCCGGGCTCCGGTCCGGCTCCCGGAGCTAGGCCCCCGGCGGGTCGCGCGATACGGCGCGGGGCGGGCGGACGGTGGGCGGGGGCCGCGGGGAGCTCGGGAGGAGGGCGGGGCGGGCGCGGGCGGGCCGAGTCGTGAAGGCCGGGCCCGCGGGCGGCGGCGGAGTGGGACTCGGCGCTGGCGCTGGTGTGGGCGCCATGGACGCCGACGCGGGGTCGGAGAACCCGCCTGCCGAGCGCGGCGACCCGGGCCTGACTCCGGAGGAGGACGCGCGGGCCCGGGCAGAGTTCGCGGCGCTGCACGGCTTGGCGCTGCGCGCGTCCGGGGTCCCCGAGCGGTACTGGGGCCGCCTCCTGCACAAGCTGGAGCACGAGGTGCGGGCTAGGGCGACGCGGGCAGGCAAGGCGCCGGCCGGGAGGACCGGGGTGCAGAGCGGGGCCGGGAAAGTTGGGGCGCGGACGGCGCTGGACCCTTCTACCAGGAAAGGTGTGGCTGCGGGCGGGCCCCTGGCCGAGAGCCGCTGGGGGGCGGCGCGGGGAGCCCGGGCCAGATGCGCTGTGGGGGAGGCTGGCGGCCCCCAAGAGGACGCAGGCTCGCGGGGTTGGGAGTGTGTCTGGGGGGGAAGTAGAGAAAGCGCGTTCCGGGGCGGGAGAAGCCTCTGCCGAGGTGGGCCGGCCTGGGGTAGATGCGCTGGGGAGAAACGGACAGAGGATGGCTGATGAAGAGCACGAAGGCCATGATGACCTACTTAGACGTCGCCTCCTTGGCGGTTTAGGAGCTTCTAGAGTTCGGGGCCTAAGAGTGGCAGCAAGAGCCCAGTACCTGTGGCCCCGATTCTACCAGCGCCTGGGGCTGGGCCGGGGCTGTGTGCGCGCCTCCTGTTGTGTGTTGGGACCTGTACTGAAATCTCCACACATCTGAGCCCCACAGATTTATCATCCCCATTATGCGGTTGAAAAAACTGAGTCACAGGAAGAGCTAGTGAGTCTCCCAAAGTCCGTCAGACTTGGGAACCTGTCCCTTGCTCTCAGCCACTGCCTCCTCCAGGGAGAGTAGATGTCCCATGAGTTTGTGTGGCTTTAGCTGTTCGAGTCATAGAATTCTTTCTTGTGTCAACATTTGATTTGAGCCCTGGTCACCCTCATTTTGCAGGTCAAAGAAAAGAGGTTGTGGGAGATGGAAAAGATCTAAAGAAAAGGTTTACATGCTTCTAGATTCTCTGCCCTTTTGTGGGGACGGCTCCCTTCTGCCCACCAGCCTTCTCTAGCCTGGGTCTCCAGTGGGGCTCTCCACAGGTGCTCGCTGATGACTGGGCCCTGGTTTGGGTCGTTTGCCCAGGTGCTGAAGCCAGAGCACATTCACAAGCCAGATAGAGGGGACTTCTTAGTTGTAAAAAGGCTCTTCTTGGGTGGGGAGCTGCCCCCAGGGCCAAGACAGACGAGGGCAGGTGATGGAGTGGAGCCCCAGAGCCAGGAAGAGGTAGTCACCCAAGCCTAGCCGCTCCACAGACCCAACCTTCTCAGCCGGGTTTTCTCTGTTAAATCCGGGTTCACCAGATACCCTCCTGCTCCAAACACATAGTTACCATAAAAAAAGACACATCTGTGACACTCAACTACATCCCTACCTCTTGTGAATTTCCTTCCCCGTATGACTTGCCCTCCGTTCCACCAGTGTTTCCTGAGCCCTTGGCTCTGGTCCCAGGCATGTGCTGGGGACACCCCCCCCGTTTGTTAGGATAAGAAGGTGGTCCTCATTCTGGGTGAAAGGCTCATGATGTGGGAACGCCCTGGCCCTAGCCCAGCCAGCCTCTGTAGGCAGGAAACCCTCATTCGGGCAACACTGGTCTGTCTGAGCTGGAGTCTCCCGTCTGGAAAGCCCAACGGTGGAACAGGGCCCCAGCTCCCACTGTCTCAGTGGGGCTTGGGTGGGGAGGCCTGAGATGACCTCAGCCAGGGCCGGCACATGGTGGGCGGTCACCAGAACGTAGCGTCCCCCTCTGCCTTGGCTTCTGTAGCTCTTTCAGGGGGCCGCCAGTATTTTTCCATGAGCTTCCCTTGCTGTTAGGGGTTATGGGCAGAGCTGTGAGTCATCACTTTACTAGACCCAAAACCTACACCCATTGTTCCCAGTGAAACCTGCCACTGCTGCTCTAGGCCCAGGTGTGGGGGAGGGCACCTGCCAATAGGAATGGGGCCCCTCCAACTCCCCGCAAGGCCAATGACCCTGGTGCCTTGCCTCAGATGAGTTTCGTTGGAAAGGATGGGGAGTGTTTTCAAATAAATTCCACCTCTCCCTGCCGGCAGGAACTTCCCAGCTGTAAAACCACTTCCCTTCGTTACCTCCTTAGGGGCTTTTCCCATCCCTCCATGAAGGGATTGTGGTCACCCTCATTTCATGGCTGGGGGAAGGCAGGCCTTCTATCCCCAGGCCTTAGGCTACCCCACTGTGCCCCCTCCCTCCATATGATTTGGGGATTTGGGTGCTGGGTTGAAACCAGGGTGTGAATTCCAGTCCTCTGAGCAGCTCTGTCCTGGAGGTGAGGTAGCACCCCAACACCCTCCCACCCCAGCTCTGACTGCTTAGGGAATCCGGCTAGAGGCGGCTTCCCCTTGTCTTCCA